CGCGTGGCAGGTGCAAGGGATTGTGGACCTTGTCAAAGGGAGCAAAACGTGCCCAAAAGATCCGGTTAGGCAATTTCCTGCCTAATAGTTAATTCCTTATTTCCTACCTGATTAGGTAATTTTTAAAGTAAAAAGGTAACCTAATTTTTAAGGCAATTCGGCACGTGGGGTTGAAAGTTTGCGTGCTAACTTGCGAGGCGGGGCTGAAAGTTTGCATGCAAACTTGCGAGACAAGGTTGAAAGTTTGGATGCAAACTTGCGAGGGGAGGTTGAAAGTTTGCGCGCAAACTTGCGAGGCGGGGTTGAAAGTTTGAGCGAAAACTTGCGAGGCGGGGTTGAAACTTTGCAAGCAAATTTGCGCCCTTGGACACGCACGCAAGCATTTGCAGGCAATTGGTGGTGCAAGTTTGCACTCAAACTTGCGAGGGGGGTTGAAAGTTTGCCTGCAAACTTGCGAGGGGAGGTTGAAAGTTTGCATGCAAACTTGCGAGGCGGGGTTGAAAGTTTGCGTGCAAACTTTCGTTGAAAGTTAGGTAATTAAGTCAAGAAAAATTAACTAATTTAGGTAAGGGAAAAATAAACTAATAGGTATTTTTTTGTCTAAGATAAGGAATTACCTTTTCGGCAGGAAATTGCCTAACCTGATCTATTGGGTGAGGGTCTTGTGGCATTTACAAGAACGATGGCAGGCGTGGGACATTTGAGGAGGATCTGCAAAGATGCATTTCCGTGCCAGGCGCAGTACAAGAGACATGCTCATCAGAGCTTTTAGGAGGCCCAGGCGCTGATTTCCTGAGAGGGGTTGCATTTTGGAGCATCAGATCTTCAGGTTTGCTGAGATGATTTTGCGTGACAGGTGCAGCACTTCGTATGACCTGGCATCACCTTTTCGTGGCAGGCGCAGTACTTCAGACAGGTGGAATGGAAAAAACGCAAAACGCATTGGTAGGAGGCCGTCAGCTCTGCACTCAACTTTCCATTTTGAAGGAAGTCTCGCAGAATTGCTTCGTTTTTGATGTTGTCAACTTCGAAAATTGAGGAAGTTCGCAGAATTGCTTCGTGCTTGACGTTGTCAAGTAAAAATATTGAGGAAGTCTCGCAAAATTGCCGCGTTTTTGATGATGTCAAGTTTAAGAACTGAGGAAGTCTCGCAGAATAGCTTCGTTTTCAAGCTTGCAGATGTTTTCAAGCTTGCAGGTAGATAGATAGACAAAGAGATAGATAGATAGATAGACAGACAGATAGATAGATAGATAGAGAGATAGAGAGATAGAGAGATAGATCGATCGATCGATCGATCGACAAACAGGCAGACAGACAGAGAGAGAGAGAGAGATGGATGGATGGATGGATGGATGGGTGGATGGATGGATGACAGACAGACAGATAGATAGATAGTTCGATAGACAGATGAGAGAGATAGATGGATGGATGGATGGATGGATGGATAGATAGGTAGATAGATAGATAGATAGGTAGGTAGGTAGGTAGGTAGTCAGAGAAAGAGCGAGAAAGAGAGAGAAAGAGAGGAGACCTCAACCACTTTTCAATCCATCAGGTTGGATTCGCTCTGCTATCCGTGATTCACAACAACCAACCTCTCCTATAGGTTTCCTATTTTTGAAACTTCCGCCACCGCCTTGGGCGGTACTACCGGTATAATGTATACATACATACATACATACATACATATATATATATTATATATTATTTATTTATTTATTTATTTATACTTGAAGTAGAAGTGTAGACACACACACATTTATATACATATATATGTGTGTGTTCCGGGTTGAGAATGCATGGCACCGACGAATTTCTCAGAGGTGGTTGCGCCATCTATTATGCAGTGATAAAATCCTTTCCCACTTTTACCCGAAACAGCAAATGTGTCTGAAGACGGCGCACCCCTAGATGTGCAAAATACATATTTAAAATTTAATTTCCTTCTTTCCGGACTGGACATTTCGGTCATCAACATTTTGATGGAAACGGGCTCACCCTATCCAACCCTAAATTTTGAAGGGAATTGATTTTTTCTGCGCAACCCAAAAGTCCAGGGCCTTGCGCTTTGAAACCGGAAGGTTTTTGCCATTTGCCACCATGTACCGTTGAAAAGTCTTGCAAACAATGCCTTCAAAGGAAAGAAGCCTGCTGCCACAATAGATCGCACCAATTCTTGAGTGTGGGTCCTCGCACGCCATGAACGCCAGGGTCAGAATGGATGGGTAAGCGGACGGAAAGCGGCGCTTTAGAGAGGGCTGGGTATAGATGATGGGAAATGCGGAAGGGGAAGACCTACACCAAAACACTATATACGGGAATAGATGCTCCATTCCCGTGTGAACACCTGTCAACCCAACCAAAACCCCAAAACCTGAGAATAGATGACGCAACCTCCAAATTCGCTGAGCAGAAATGGAGACATCTACAATGAAACCACCGAAATAGTGCGGGAATAGATGTTCCCCCTGCAAACCCAACCAAACCTAATAATGCAGGAACAGATGGCGCATGGAATGGGAGGATATACAATAAATCCAGCAAAACACTGTGGGAATGGATGGTGCATTCGCGGCAAAACAGCCACAAACCCAACCAAAGCCACGAAGGCAGGAATAGATGGCGTGCCGGCGCAGCCCCTAAACTTGGCAAGGAGGCATTTCAAGGGTTCTGCAGGGCTTTGCGATTTCAGACTTTGCGAGATTCTTGGCATAGATGGTGCAACCAACTATGAGAAATGGCCGGAGATGTGACTTTGAGGTGTCAAATTCCCAAAAGCTAGCGCCATCTATACGCGCACTTTCGAAGTGGGCAGAGCCATCTATATTGAACGGGGTGTATACATATATGAGGTATATACATAAATATATATTATATGAAAGAGATGTATTTCAGAGTGATGTTTCCCCTTTATTCTCAGAGTCCCATGCCAGGACACGGAGGAGGTGGTCAGGCTGGTGTCTCCAAGCCAGGAACCCCTGCTGTTTGGGATGGGAACGGGCTGTGAAAACAAGAGAAACCAACGAACCCGAATGCAGTCACGTAAAACACTTTTGTGAATCAAGTTTTTGAACAGTCTTGTGCATTGTACAAATTTTCCCCTGTTACCGTACCAGTGCACAGTAAACAGTGGAATGTGGAAGGGGCTGGGGTGCCAACTTTGTAGTGTGAAGAAAGTGGAGTGTTGAGTGGGGATTGTGGAGTGCGGAGTGTAAAGTGTAAACCATGGCGTGGAAAGTATGAATTGTAGACTGTGGAGTGCAAAGCGTAAATTGAAACATGTAAAGCGCGGAGTGTAAAGTGTGGAGTGTCGAATGTAAAGTGTGGAGTGTAAATTGTAGAGTGTGGAGCGTAAAGTATAAAGTGCGCAGTGTGAAGTCTAGAGTGTGGAGTGTACAGTGTGGAGTGTGGAGTGTAAAGTGCGGAGTGTGGAGTGTCAAGTGCAAAGTGTAGAGTGTGAAGTGTGGAGTATTAAGTCTATAGTGTAGAGTGTGGGGTGAAAGTGTGTGGAGCGTGGAGCATAAAGTGTGAAGTGTAAAGTCTAGAGTGTTGATTGTAGAGTGTGGAGTCTGAAGTGTTAGAGTATAAAGTGTTCAGTGTGGAGTGTGGAGTGTACAGTGCGGAGTGTAAAATCCAAAGCGTGAGGGTCAAGTGTGAAGTGTGGAGTTTAAAGTGTAAAGTGTGGAGTGTGAAGTGTGGAAGGAGGAGTGTAAAGTATAGAGTGTGGAGAGAGGACTGTAAAGTGTAAAGCGTGGAGTGTAAAGTGCACAGTGTGGAGTGTAAAGTGTGGAGTGTAGATTGTGGGGTGGGGAGCGGTGTAGAGTCCGGAGTGTAAAGTGTGGTGTGGAAAGTGTGCGGAGTGTAAATTGTAGAGTGTGGAGAGCGGAGAGCGGAGTGCAAATTGTAAAGTGTAAAGTGTGGAGTGTAAAGTGCACAGTGTGGAGTGTAAAGTGTGGAGTGTAGATTGTGGAGTGGGGAGTGGAAAGTTCGGAGTGTAAAGTGTGGTGTGGAAAGTGTGCGGAGTGTAACTTGTAGAGTGTGGAGAGCGGAGAGCGGAGTGCAAATTGTAAAGTGTAAAGTGTAAAGTGTGGGATGGAAAGTGTGAATGAAGTGTAGAGTGTGGAGTGCAAAGTGTAAAGTGAAAGTTGTAAAGTGCGGAGTGTAAAGTGTGAAGTGTAAAGTGTAGAGTGTGAGATGTAAAGTGTGGAGCGTAAAGTGTAACGTGCTGAGTGTGGAGTACACATATAAAGTGTAGAGCGTGGAGAGTGGAGTGTAAAGTGTAAATTGTAAAGTGTAAAGTGCGGGGTGAGAAAATGTGAAGCGCAGAGTGCGGGGTGTAAAGTGTGGAGTGAGGAGTGTAAAGTGTCTAAGTGTGGAGTGTGAATTGTGGAGTGTGGAGTGCAAAGTGTGGAGTGTAAAGCGTAAAGTGTAGAGCGTAGAGTGTAAAGTGTGGAATGCAAAGTGTACAGTATGGAGTGCGGAGTGCAAAGTATGGAGTGTGGAGTATATAGCGTGAAGTGTGGAGTTTGGAGTGTAAAGTGTGGAGTGTAACATGGAGTTTGCAGTGTGAAGTGTAAAGTGTGGAGTGGAGCTTGGAGTGTAAAGTGTGAAGTGTGGGGTGGAAAGTGTGATGTGTAGAGTGTGGAGTGCAAAGTGTCATGTGTAAGGCGTAAAATGTGGAGTGTCAAGTGTGGAGTGTGGAGTGTAAAGTGTGGAGTGTATAGTGTGGAGTGCAAAGTCTAAATTGTCGAGTGTAAAGCGTAGAGTGTAAAGTGTAGAGTGTGGAGTTTAAAGTGTAGAGTGTAAAGTGTGAAGTGTAAAAATTGGAGTGTAAATTGGTGAAGTGTGAAGTATGAAGTGGAGACTGCGGGGTGTACAGTGCAGGGTGCGGAGTGTAAAGTGTAAAGTGTAAAGTGTAGTGTGGAGTGTGGAATGTGGAGTGAGAAATGGTGCCACCATGTTTTTCCTTGCGTACTCCAGCTTCATTGGCTCAACTAATGCGCCCAGCAGCCCTCGCGGGAGCTTCGGGAGGAGTCGTATCTGCAATCCTAGGATTGGTGAGTGATTCAGTGTCCAGGGACTTTGCGGAACCTATCCACTGCCCAACTATCCAGGACATTTTTCATCCTCCTGCTTACTGGACTTTGAATTATCCCAGCTTGCTTTTGGGCATTTTGATAGGGCTGCTTGTGGGACCGGTCTTGGAAACTTTGGTTTTGTTGCGACAACTTTGGGCTCTGCAGATCAGAGCTCGATTTCGTGTCCAAGGAGTGGCACGGTCTAACTACCGAGTTCTTGAATGAGCTCGGTTGCAATTAGGGCTCTCAGGACTGAGACTGAAAGCCTGAGGCAGCTGCTAGAGTCAGTGCGCTTGAGTTTGACTGAGGTGCGAGATGACTGCTCTCAATGCTTCGATGATGGCAACAACTTCCAGAGGATGGGTAGAACATCGGAGCAAACTGGGGCATTACCCTGCAACAATTCGTTTGATGTGGATTGTAGCGGGGATTCACGATTGCCTCAAGCGGGGGGAGATCCAGCAAGCCAGGGCAAGGTGTGCACTAGCTCTTGCGGCCACCGACCAGTCAGCCATCGACATGGGCAATTGGAGCCTCGCACAGGAATTTCTTCCCGAGCTCCCGCCTCCTTATCAATCCTTCACCAATCGCCGGGCTCCAGATCAGAGCGAGCAAGTCTCGACACGACTCACCGACGAGAGGTTCATCGAGATCATGATGTGGAGGCTGAAAGACCGAGACTCCTATTTGGAGTGGCGCAGGAGGCTCAATCAGAGTGCAAAGCCAAAGCCCCAGCCAGGTCTTCTGAATCGAGATTCCCTGCCGAAACCAGGTCCAAAGGGCGCTGCAAAGCCCAAGCCCAAAGCCAAAGCTTCGGGAGGATTTAGGACAGAACGAAGCCTAGATGGTGGCAAGTTTCTGAATTCATTGTTTGCTGCTTTGCGCCCGGAGCGAAGTGTGCCTGGTGCTAGAGCTTCTACAGTGCATGCAGACATTGGAACCTTTGTTTTGAGGCCGTCAGTCGGTCTCGCCAGGATTGAGTCGCTTTTTCCAGTCTGCTGCTGAAGACCCGCGCTTGCGCTCAGCGAGCGCCCGGAGGGAAGATATGGCCAATGCCGCTTCCCTTCCCCGAGATGCATGGTAAGCGTGCAAGCAGGCGACAGCCTGATGGAGCCCGGAAGCTGGGGGTAAATTTTGTCGTGCTGATTTTGAACTGGCTGGCTCTAGGTGAGGCTTTTACAGACTTGAACACCATCGGCCTGGGGACAAAGCTGAACTACCAGCAATGGAGCGCAGTGAAGCGTTTCGTTCCCTTGGTCGATACTTCGAATGCTCAAGAGCAAGTCAACGCTGAACAGATGGGCCGATCTGCGGCCAAGCTTGAGAATGTGGAAGCCTTGCTGTCTGACCTGGAGAAAGAGGCTGTGGGGCCAGCGAGCGATTTTCGCGCTGGCATGCGGGTCTGATGATTGATGATTTTATCTTGGTTGAGAAGGTTGAAGACAGTTTTTGCGAAGGCGATGAGACCCAAGGTAGGCAGAAGGTTGAGGAAGTCCGGGCGCAGTATGACGCAGTAACTAGGTTTGCCACGGCATGCAGGCAAAGCAGTTGCGAGGAGTTTGAAGGGCCAATTTTGGGGAGCGCAAGTTGATGGGCGAGCGGGCCGGCTTCAGCCGATTTTGACCAGGCTCATCCCGCTTGCAAACATCATTCTGCGAGTTGTGAAGCTGAGATGTTCCACCGTTTGGGCTCCTTGAAGTTTTCGCGGGGTCTCTGGTTTCAGCCTTTCAGATGAAGAGGAGATTCATGTCTGGTTTGCAAGAAATATATTCCGCTCAGAGAGGGCGGCAACGGAGTGACCTTGTCCACCTTTCACTTCAACTCGTTGATGAGCTTTTGATGTGTGTAGGACTTTGTGGCCATTACATGTATTGATCTCCGTCTTCAGCCCTCCAAGCCCTCGTGGCAAGCAACTCTTCTTCTCATGCTGAAGCGGCTGTTTTCACTTAGGTGGGAAGCCAGTTCACAGCGGAAGCTCAGAGGCATGGGCTCCAGAAGGGGCTGTGGAATAGACTTTTAGTCAGGGAGCACGCGCAACTTTTGCCCGAAGAAGGGCTGCCTGACCGAGCATACGATATGCACCCGCTTTGGGAAGAAGTTTGTTCGGTTAAGCAGTTTAGAGTTTTGGGACAAGTCAAAAGGAGACATCGCCGCAAGCACATCAATCTTGGCGAAGTCTCCGCAGCCCTGAGTGCGGAAAAAGAGATGGGGGGCCGGCAGCCTGACTCCTACTACGTGCATTTACAAGACAGCCAAGTTGCTCTAGCTTGTTTAGTGAAGGGAAGGAGCTCATCGTCTGAGCTGAACAAGCTGCTCAGACGTAGCATCCCAGACAATGCGGGGCAGAACATCAAAGCTTTTTACGGTTTTGTCAGGAGCAAATTGAACCCTGCAGACGACCCTAGGAGGGGGGCGGTTGTGCGAGTCCCCAGTCGTGAGCCTGCAGAGTGGTGGGGCGACATCGAAGCAGGGTTGTTCCGAAGGTTCGATGCGTTTTTAGGGCAACAGGGTTTTCTGCCTTCTCAAATTTCTGGACTTCCAGACGCATCGGAATTTTTGCCCGATGCAGACCTAGACATGAGAAACTCCCCGCGGATGCAAACGTGACAGGGCACCCAAAAAGTTGAAGCAACCGGCCGGAGGGGTAGTGAATGTGTCTTCATTGCATTCTGCATCGGCGGCATCTGTGTCCTTACCAGTTGTGACTGGGTCGGACTTGCCGTCAGCAGGGTCTGGCTTTGCTGGGATCAAGAAGCGCAACGTAGCATCAACTATGGAGACATCAGAAGTGAAGCTGACCAAGGTGAAGGATGAAACGAAAAGGTTCATTCCGACAGACAATGCCTGCGCTCGGATGGCTGGCGTTGCTCCTGGTGAAGCGGCGGCCCTGTGCCGGGCTCTACTATGTCAGCACGGAGCTCTTCTCGAGCTTCTACGGTATTCGGTCCGGGGAGGGGGAGCCGTGGCCCAGCCGCCATCCTGCGCTTGATCCCCTTCCCATTGCTCCTGCCAGTGAAGCTAGTGGGTTACCTGTGCCGGGCTCTTCTTCCTCAGCGCAGAGCTCCATTGGGGCTACTGCGGTATTCGGTCCGGGGACCACTAGTGGATCTGAGCAGGGACCTGAAGGTGCGGATTGCGCTGTTGCGCCCGGCGGTTGCACTGCTGAAGCTTTCAGCGGTTGGGGCCCGGAGAAAACTAAAGAAGAGATAGTAGACAGTTCGGGAAATTTTGAAGTTCGAACGCAACCAGATTCAGTTTTCCAAGAAGTTTGGGAGCATTGAAGAGGCTTTGAGGTCAGGACCAGGGTTGCTGGATCTTTTTGCGGGGGCCAGGGGTTTTTCAAAAGCGTTTGTTCACAAGCACCAGACGTGGAGCCTCAGCTTTGACATTAAGAATGGGTCTGACGAAGACCTCCTTGATCCTTGGTTGCAGAAAAGACTCCTGAAGCTCCTGCGGGCGGGGGCGTTTCGAGCCACGGCAGCGAGCCCAGTTTGCGCGTCATTTTCGACTGCCATTACTCCGCCCTGGAGGTCCAAAGAGTTTCCAGCAGGGAAGCCAGATCTCACTGCCGAACAAGTCAGCAAGATTGAGCTGGGACAACAGCAACTAAAGTTTTGGTTTTGGAAGCAGGAAGGGAAGCTTAGCTGGGAATCCATTCTGCAAGACCCAAAGGTCGGCGACTTCAGGATGGATCAATGCAGATTCAGAACACGGTGGCGGAAGAGAACCCGGTTTAGAACCAACAGCTCTCGTGCGGGGCAAAAAGTTCTTTGTGAATGTGCAGGCCCGCATGTCTTGCTGCGGGGAAAGGTTCCAAATACAGGTATTAACTTCACCAAATTAGCTGAAGCCTATCCACGGGTGTGAGCTCTTAGCTACTGCAGTAGGCCAAGATTGCGGTCTGTTGCCTGACCGGCGTAGGCTCTCCGCTGACGGCTGCGCTCGTTGTTGTGGAAAGCGGATTGGTGAAGCAACAAATCCTGGCCCGCGACCTAAATCTGGCGTGCGAAAACAGAGGATCGACCGGCTCGAAGATTACGAGCTGCTCGAGCCCCAGACTATAGCAATGAGACAACGCTTCTGGAAGAGCTTTGAAGCTTGGCTTTTTCAGGAGCTTGGGGAAGACTGTCTGGATCACCTACTAGCAGCCCCTGTGCTTATGGTCAAGGCTCTCGAGGCCTACGCCTCTCTGGAGTATGCAGCGGGAACTCCGCTCCATTACTATAGACAGTTGCTTTGATATGTTCAGCGCAAATTTCCTCTGACAAAGCCCTATCTGGGTTTGGGTTGGGCGGCTGTTAGTCGCTGGGAACTAGCGTTTGCTGCTACTCTTTTATTCTGCTTTTACGGAATCTGCCGAATCGGTGAAGTTTTGTCCGCGGGAAGGTCAGAATTGCTTACTCCTGACGATCTGCTGGCAGAAGAACAGGTTCTGTATCTGAGAATCGAGAAGCCAAAGAGTAGGAAGATAGGGCCAAAAACTCAATATGCTCATAAGAAAGGAATGCAGATTCAAGATCTTTGCTGGAGAATGAGGTTGCAACATACAAAAACCCTAGGGTTTTATCTTCAGGAGACTACTGCTGGATCCATTCTTCCTTCCTTGGGTGTTGAGTGCAGATACAACATCCCAGCTCTCAGGGCGCTATTGCCCATTCTGTTCGAATGTTCTGGCTAGGCGCACAGCCTTCTGTGTTTTATCACTAGTGTTTGCTGTAGGCCTAGCGAGTTTTGCGGATGGAAATTTGAATCGAATATCACTATTATCACTTGACCGTGATCAATTACCTGCATTTTAGCGGCTGGCCAGCTCACCCTTTTCCTTTGTCTGCGATGAGCAGCCAATTCACATACAGCAGCCGCAGGAGAGTGGAAAACAGGAAGAGGGAGCACGGGACAACATGGCGCCACCATGTTTTTCCTTGCGTACTCCAGCTTCATTGGCTCCCAAACCCACCTCCCAAGCTTCGCTCCGGATAGAAATTTGAATTGAATATATATCACTTGACCGTGATCAATTTGCAGTTTCCTGCATTTTTGCGGCTGGCCAGCTCACCCTTTTCTTTTGTCTGCGATGAGCAGCCAATTCACATACAGCAGCCGCAGGAGAGTGGAAAACAGGAAGAGGGAGCACGGGACAACATGCAATGTAAAGTGTCAAGTGTGGAATGTGGGATGGAAGTGTGGAGTGTAAAGTGTAGAGTGTGGAGTATCAAGTGCGGAGCGCGCAGTGTAAAGTGTGGAGTGTGGAATGTAAAGTCTAGAGTGTGGAGTGTAGAGTATAAAGTGCAGAGCGTGGAATGTGATTGTAGAGTGAAAAGTGTAAAGTGCGGAGTGTAGAGTGTGAAGTGTGGAGATTAAAGTGTAAAATGTGGATTGTCAAGTGTGAAGTGTTGAGCTTAAAGTGTAAAGTGTGGAGTGTGAAGTGTGGAGAGAGGAGTGTAAAGTATAGAGTGTAGAGAGAGGAGTGTAAAGTGTAAAGTGTGGAGGGTAAAGTGCACAGTGTGGAGTGTACAGAGTAGAGTGTGAAGTGTGGAGTGCCGAGTGCGGAGTGTACAGCACTAGAGTGTAGAGAGTGGAGTGTAAAGCGTAAGGTGCGGAGCGTAAAGTGTACAGTGTGGAGTGTACAGTGTGGACTGGAGCTTGGAGTGTAAAGTCTGAAGTGTGGGGTGGAAAGTGTGATGTGTTGAGTGTGAAGTGAAAAGTGTCAAGTGTAAGGTGTAAAATGTGGAGTGTAAAGCCTAAAGGGCAAAGTGTAAAGTGTAGAGTGTAAAGTGTGAAGAGTAAAGTGTGGAGTGTAAAGTGTAGAGTGTAAAGCGTGAAGTGCAAAGTGTGTAGTGTAAAGTGTGAAGTGTAGAGCGTGGGGTGTACAGTGCAGAGTGCGGAGTGTAAAGTGTAAAGTGCAGTGCGGAGTGTGGAATGTGGGGTGAGAAATGTAAAGTGTCAAGTGTGGAATGAGGAATTGAAGTGTGGAGTGTAAAGTGTAGAGTGTGGAGTATCAAGTGCGAAGCGCGCTGTGTAACGTGCGGAGTATGGAATGTAAAGTCTAGAGTGCGGAGTGTAGAGTGTAAAGCGCGGAGCGTGGAATGTGATTGTGGAGTGAAAAGTGTAAAGTGCGGAGTGTAAAGTGTGAAGTGTGGAGTGTAAAGTGTAAAGTGCGGAGTGTCAAGTGTGAAGTGTTGAGTTTAAAGTGTAAAGTGTGGAGTGTGAAGTGTGGAGAGAGGAGTGTAAAATACAGAGTGTGGAGAGAGGAGTGTAAAGTGTAAAGTGTGGAGGGTAAAGTGCACAGTGTGGAGTGTACAGTGTAGAGTGTGAAGTGTGGAGGGCGGAGTGTGGAGTGCACAGCACTAGAATGTGGAGAGTGGAGTGTAAAGCGTAAGGTGCCGAGTGTAAAGTGTACAGTGTGGAGCGCACTGTGTGGAGTGGAGCTTGGAGTGTAAAGTGTGAAGTGTGGGGTGGAAAGTGTGATGTGTAGAGTGTGGAGTGCAGAGTGCCAAGTGTAAGGTGTAAAATGTGGAGTGTCAAGTGTGGAGTGTGGAGTGTAGACTGTGGAGTGTATAGTGTGTAGTGCAAAGTGCAAAATGCCAAGTGTACAGTGTAGAGTGTAACGTGTAGAGTGCAAAGTGCGGAGTGTGAAGTCTAAAGTTTGGAGTGCGGAGTGTAAAGTGTGGAGAGTGAAGTGTGGAGTGCAAAGTGTAGAGTGTAAAGTGTGAAGTGTTAAAGTGTGGAGTGTAAAGTGTGAAGTGTTAAAGTGTGGAGTGTAAAGAGTGAAGTGTGACGTGTAGAGTCAGGGTGTACAGTGCAGAGTGCGGAGTGTAAAGTGTAAAGTGCAGTCAGGAGTGTGGAATGTGGAGTGAGAAATGTAAAGTGTCAAGTGTCGAATGTGGAGCTGAAGGGTGGAGTATTAAGTGTAGAGTGTGGGGTATCAAGTGCGGAGTGCGCAGTGTAAAGTGTGGAGTGTGGAATGTAAAGTCTAGAGTGTGGAGTGTAGAGTGCGGAGTGTAGAGTGTAAAGCGCGGAGCGTGGAATGTGAAGTGTGGAGTGTAAAGTGTGGAGTGTGAAGTGTGGAGTGTAAAGTGCGGAGTGTCAAGTGTGAAGTGTGGAGTTTAAAGTGTCAATTGTGGAGTGCGAAGTGTGGAGAGAGGAGTGTAAAGTATAGAGTGTGGAGAGAGGAGTGTAAAGTGTGGAGAGTAAAGTGTACAGTGTAGAGTGTGAAGTGTGGAGTGCGGAGTGTGGAGTGTACAGTACTAGAGTGTAGAGAGTGGGGTGTAAAGTGTAAGGTGCGGAGTGTAAACTGTACAGTGTGGAGTGCACAGTGTGGAGTGAAAAGTGTAAAGCGTGGAGTGTAAAGTGTGAAGTGTGGAGTGAAAAGTGCAAATTGTGGAGTGGAAAGTGTGAAGTGTGGAGTTTAAAGTGTAAAGTTTGGAGCGTGAAGTGTGGAGAGAGGAGGAGTGTAAAGTATAGAGTATGGAGAGAGGAGTGTAAAGTGTAAAGTGTGGAGGGTAAAGTGTACAGTGTGGAGTGTACAGTGTGGAGTTTGGAGTGCGGACTGCGGACTGCGGAGTGTAAAGTATAGAGTGTGGAGAGAGGAGTGTAGAGTGTAAGGTGCGGAGTGTAAACTGTACAGTGTGGAGTGTACAGTGCAGAGTGTAGAGTGTAAGGTGTGGAGTGTGAAGTATGAAGTGTGGAGTGTAAAGTGTAGAGCCGAGTGTAGAGTGTGGAGTGTCAAGTGTAAAGTGTAAGGGGAAAGTGTGGAGCGTAGAGCGTGCTAAACATTGCGGCTGCCACGCAAAAGAGCATTCCACACAGGACAGATTCTCACCAAATGCTGCACTTGCATGCAAAAGGAAACTTTCAGGATGCCCCAGGCCTGCCACGGAATTTGCACGCAGTCGCCACTTGATGGAGACCTGACATTGGGACTCGCCAAAAACACGCAACGCGACACGTCTGAAGTGCTGCGCCTGCAACGTAAAATGACGACGGAGATCTCCAAAGCGATACGCCTGCCACGCAAAATGCAAATCATCTTCTGAAAAAGACGCAAAAGTATTCCGCCTGCCGCATGCCATAAAGAACGACTTTCGACGCGTTATGAAACATGTTCGAATGTCACAACGTGCCACGCCTGCCACGCGAAACGAAGCTATGCGACATTTGAAACCTGACCACTGTTGCAGAACTCGCCATAGGCACGGCCATTTTGCCCCCACGATAGTCGCTCGCAGACGGTTGCCAGCGGTTGCCAACGGTTGCAAACGGTTGCGGACGGTTGCAGACACAAAAGCAGCGTCGAGCGAACACGTCTCAACCCCCAGACCCCAAAAGTAGAACGAGAACCCCTCGCTGCGCGGGAAAAATAGTTTTGGGTTCAGCACAAAGAAAATACATCAACAAATATCACACCGACATTCCATTGGTAATGTATTTCCTTCGCCCATCAAATCTTGAGATGCTTCACCCTTGTCGCCTAGCGTAGTGTGGCATCGCCTCTCTTCAGCACAGAAACCGCGCGTGAACAGATCAAATCTATAGTATACTTTTTGTGAGTTACATTGCGAGGTTCATGCTGGCTGCAGGAGAATGATCTCAATCCAGACCAAACTCTGCCTACAGATGACTTGGATATCCGAGCTATCCGAGTTCGCTTCCCAGTAATGTGATTTCAGGCAGGTTTCATTCAAATCCAGAGGCCCTCTGAAGCGGCTGTTAAATTCAATTCTGACAGCGTTGAGGCCAGTCAACCCGGTGTTGGTGAGGAGGCCGAGTGTTGCGGCACGTTTTCAGCAGGCTGGTTTCAGAGCAAATTATTTTGACGCCGTGCCCTTTGCAGGTGCCAAATGAAGAGAGCAAGGATTGCAGGAAGGATGGCAAGGCACAGCGGAAAAGCGGCACAAGAACCAAGGACTCTCAAGCCACGGTTCTGTGAATGAACAGAATGGCTGTTATGTTTTCCGGTGGCGTTTTCGTTCCTTGTTTTTCTACATATTTCTTTGTGGTTTCGAACAGCAATTGCAATCCAACTCTGCGCTTGCAGGTGCTTCCGTCGCTCTTTTCAAGACAACTAGACCGTGAGAGCATGGCAGGCCAGGACTCTGGGTTTCCTTTCCTTGTAGGAAATTGAAAGGGGATGCCATTCGAAGCAGGATGAGACTTGAAGAGCGGCTTGCACTTTCAACATCTATCTTCCTGGAAGCGTCACTGATTTTCCAGACGCCGCTGCGGATGCTGATCATTCGTGCAGATCCCAACGTTGAATATTACACGCAGAGCATCTGATGGTTCACAATACAGTACGAGTTTTTTAATCATGGTCTGTCCATGCGAGTCATAGCTCATTGTGAAAACTTAGTAGCACCTCCATGTCATATGCAATACAGTACAGATGCAGTTGAATGCATGTTCCATGACCGCCATGCACAGTGGCTCAGAACAGCTTGAAAAGGAGAGCTGGCTGCTTTCAGATGGTAGCGGAGCCCTCCCCAGGGCGATGAAGCTACCATGCAGCACAAATCGAGAAAGTGTAACAAGTTTTCCCGTCGGCATGCTCACCCTGATAGCAATGGTGGTGATGACAGCTGGCGAGGTTGACTATGTGGCGAAGCACCATTGGATGAATGGCCCTGCTAGCCTCAGCAGATGTGCCAAGATGGAAAACAACAAGACTATGGGCTTCAGAGGCATGAATTCGATGTGGGCTGACTGTACCCACCAGGAAGAACATGAAGGTGAACCTACGGAACTGGCTTGTGGCAACGCCAGGCATGGAACAGTTTGCCATGAACTTGGAGTTCAAGTCTTCAAGGCATGTGGTGGCGACTGGCATGGTTCACATGTACGTGGAGTTAAAGTCTCTACGGCTGAAATGTTGGAAGAGCTCAAGGTTCAAGTCCTTGGGAGACGCAACAGCGTGAACGCCTCTGAGGAAAAGATGCCAGGCAAGTGCAAGGAACTGGCATGTGAGAAATGTGGTAATGCTGGAGCAACCCGTATCCAGCATGGAAGTTTTCCTGGAGTGATTTGTACTTCAGATTGCGGTGCTTTTGCAATTGAGATGAACGTGGAGCAGGCAGTTGGTGTCGAATGCAATCAATTCTGTGAGTTGGCATCCCTGAACAACTACAGCCTGGACAATGTGACCTTCGAGCCCTACATTGAGTTTGGCATGGCATTCATGAACATGCAGTTCGAGGTGATGGGCTACATGGTGAATTACGTCAAGGAGACCTACATCAATGTGTATGACACCAATATGAACTTTGACTCCACCAAGTTCATGGAGTTTTGCGCTGCAGTGGTGGCAATGGTGATGATTGGCATGAGGCAAACCTTCGAACTCATGTCTGTCGAGATGGTATGGAGCAGCTGGTTAGCAGCGATGGCAATTTGCTACATGATGAGCCACTTGGGCCTGCTGGTGACAAGAACCCCAACAAGCAGATTGGGGAAGCGACGTTGTGGAGCTCGACGTGGACAAATGAAGTTGCAGCTGAAGGCATTGGTGTTTGCGTCAGTGGCCTACCACAGTCAGGCCATGGAAGGTGGTGAAGCGCAATTCCTACAACGCATGGCAACTCTGGCTGAAGCGGCAACATCAGCAGCGGCAGCAGCAGAGAAAGCGCTGAACATGATGGCAGCTGGAAGTACATCTAGCAGCAGTTCAGGCGATCCTACACAATCTGGACTGTCGATGGCCGCAAGGGTGTTGAAGAACCCTGATCCATTTTCAGGTGACGATCCTCATGGTTTTCCACAGTGGAAGTTTGGATTTTGCTCGTGGTTGTCTTTTGGAGATCAGCGATTTCAGAAGGCATTTGAGGAAGTAGAGAAATTGAAACCATCAGAAGATCTCAAACCCTACGGCCCAGAAGAGATGGACCTTTCCACAAAGCTCTATGCGGTGCTCACATCCTACTTGAGAGGGCGTTGCAGTGGACTTGTGAGAAGTTTTGCAAAATCAAGAGATGGATTTAGGTTGTGGCGCGCAGTGATTGCAGAATATGAACCACCTAGCAGACAGAGAAGTTTGGCCATAGCTCAAGCGTTGGCATCGTATCCAAGTTTTTCATCCACCAAAACCGCTCTTGAGAATGTGCTGACGTATGAATCCCTGGTGCAACAGTTCGAGGAGCTTTCAGGTCAACAATACCCTGAAGAGCTCAAATCAGCAACATTGATCAGATGTTCAGAATCAAGGTTGAGAGAACACTTGCAGTTGACAGTTGGTGAAACCACTAGCTATGGACAACTTCGAGAAGCAGTTCTCAACTTCGACAAAGCCTCAAAGAGCTGGACAACAGAATCTGTGCTGAAATCGTTGAATCCAATTCCAGAGAGTTCGAGCAGCAACAACAATGGTCCTGTTCCCATGGAAGTTGACAGGGTCTACAATGAGAAAGGCAAGAACTACAAAGGCAAAGGCAAATCCAAATCCAAAGGCAAAAGCTGGTGGAGCTTTGGTAGCTACGCATTTCAAGGCCGTGGACGTGGACGCGGCAAAGGCAGAGGAAACAAGGGCAAAGGCAAAGGCAAGTCAAAAGGTAAGTTCAAAGGAAAGTCCAAACATGGTGGCAAGAAGTCTGGACGTGGCAAAGGCAAACAAGTTGATTCTCAGCAGTGCCATTTGTGCGGAGAATATGGGCACTGGAGCCGAGAATGTCCAAACAGGATGACCAATCAGGTTGTGAACAATGCCAATAGCACTCAACAACCTCAAGCTCAAGCTCAAGCCCAACAGCCGTTTGCTCCAAGTGGAACACAACAGCGTTCTCCTCCTGCCAGTAGCTATCCTCCTACGAGTTCAACAGCTTCATCAATTAGAAGAATTTATGGAATTCCTGCCAGTTTTGCATCTTCAAGCTCTGATGTTCGAATGGTTTCAGATGGTTGGTTTAGTGGAGAGCCAAAGAATGTGGTGATCCTCGACAGTGGATCAGACGTTTCTCTTTTACCTGTCTCCTGCGGCATTGAGGTTGATGGTCCCGTGGACAAAGCCAAGGTGCAGTTGCGTGATTGTCAAGGTGAACAGTTACAAGTTGCAGGCGTGAAGACAGCTAGTTTGGTGGTGCAAGACGAAGATGGCAGTCAAGCTGAGTTGGAAACGCAATTTGTGGTTTCTGGAAGTGTGAAGTCATGCATCCTCAGTTTGGGTCAACTTTACCGAGGTGGATGGTCTGTTTCCCAATCAACAAATGGTCCAATGTTGGAATCTCCAGATCACACGTTGAAGGTTCCAGTGTTTTACCAACGCAATTCACTGGCAATTCATGGAGAAGTTTGTCGTGTGGAAGCAGCAGATGTTCCTGATGTTGAAATTTCCATGGTTCGAGCAGTTGTTGAGCTGGAAGAGAAACTCAGGCCAGAAGTCCTGCGCAACAATCAATGGGAAACAACTGTTGAAGGCAATCCTTTCATGCGTTCTGTGGGTGAGAACTTCATTGATCCCACTTTGGTTTGGCCAGCAAACTACAAGTACAGAACGACGCTCATTCAACGGAAATCGACTTCAGATGAAGATCATGGTTGGTGTGTTGTTGAGGTGAGTAGAAGGTTTCTGGAAATGGATGAACCATTTGGACGCATTGCAGAAGTTGACACATATGCTGGAGGTGAACCGGTGACAATTCTCACCATTGTTTCCAAGGTGAATCAGAACTTGGTCGACTTTGGTGGTCTTCTCGATCAAGGTGGACAGCAATTGGAAGTCATGTATGAGCCTGGAACGCCTCTTGCTTCAGGAGGTGAAGAAGTTGAAGGAGATGACATTGAAGATGGAGATGAAGGAATTCAAGGTCGCGACATCCCTGAATTCCAGCAGCTTGGTCCTGTTTTGGTTGAAGAGCAAGCAGCTGACAAGATTGTTGTGGGAGAGATGGAACTGACAGCAAGATCTTCAGTGGAAAGATTGCGACAGGCAGCTCGATATCTACGTGTCTCAGCATCTGGTTCCAAACAGAAGATTTTCCAAAGAATCAAAGAAGCACATCTCACTGCTTTGAAGATGAGTGCGTTGGAAGTTGCAAGACAGGAGTATGAAGCTCTGGATCCCAAACCCAGGTTTGCAGATGCACCAAAACAACCGAGCGCAATGGAGCGCAAAATGCATGAGGTGACTCATTTGCCGTTTAGAGCTTGGTGTTCATTTTGTGTTCAAGCCAAATCCAGAGGCAACTACAAACACAGAACTCCTGCGGATGAAAGTTCCAGCAGATCATTTCCCACAGTGCAGGTTGATCTTTTTGCAATGCCAAACAGCATGGGTGTTTTGCTGATGGTTGATGTTTGGACGAAGTACATTGGTGTGGAGCCATTGCGCAACAAAAATGCTGGTGTCATTGGTGCAATCATAGCCCGGTTTCTGTCAAATTTGTCCTACTTCGACACGATCGAAGTTTCATATGACAATGAACCAGTGCTTGCAGCAGGTGTCAAAATGGCTCAGGTGATACGCTCAAACCAAGGTCTTCCAATGGTACTTCAACCTGGCAAGATGTACTCCAAGTCACGTACAAGCCTAGCAGAAAGGTCAATTCAGACTGTGCGTGCTCAGGGCAAATGTCTCATTGCCTACATCGAGGACAAGATGCAGATGAAGTTGGCAGAAGATCATGTACTTAGAGGATGGGCGATGGTGCATGCTGGATGGTTGCTGAACAGATATCATTTGACATCGAGCAGTGGCATCACGGCATACATGGCTGTGCGTGGAAGGCCATACAAAGGTCGTGTTTGTGCTTTTGGTGAAGAGGTCTATGCACTTGACAGTCTTCAACAAAAGTATCAATGTCAATGGAGAAAAGGATGTTGGCTGACGAAAGACGAGGCTGACCATGACATCGTGGCCGTTGGCGAGAACGAGATCATCAGAAGCAAGGCTGTGCGCAAAACCGCAGAGCATTGGGACGCAGCAGCACTTCTTGCTTTACAAGTTGGACCATGGGATATGAAGCGCGGCACACAAACATCACTTCAACCCTCCAGACCGGCAGTACATCCTGTTCCTGTTCTTCATACCTCATCACATGGCGTGCAAGCTGAACATGATCCTGAAGGTGAAGCAGTACTCCAATATGCCAAAGAACACCCAGATGAAGACGCAGAAGAGGAAATGGATTCCCACAAAGGCGGGGCATTGTCAAATCCTGCCGATGTTCCTCCTCATGAACTTCAAGGAGAAACTGGTGGTGCTGTGGCTTTCGCTGATGCAGAGATGGATGAACTGATTCAAGCAACAGAGAAAAGAGACAGAGAAACCGAACTCAAGCTTCCAGTTGGTGTGAGACAGCGTGTGGCTGAAGCTGAAGCAACAAAGAGGAGCACAGAAAAGCAATCATCGAGTTCAGCAAAGTTTGTGAAGTTTGACCATACTTCAACTGAGCAACAGAAGTCCAAACAGCAAAAGACCGAGATGTACAGTCCCACATTTGCAGGTGAAGTTTCTGCAAGTCCAACATCTGGCAGTGGTCATGTGCGCCAGGTGACCGAGGAGATTGAGTTGTACGAGGAAGATGAACCTGAGATCAACATTCCTCTTGAAACATGGGACTGGGACATGAACGATCAGTTGTTGGATGGTGAATTTTCGCAGTTTGAAATTTCTCCAGAGGAGAAGAAGCGTCATGGCTTTCACAATGAGGAAGCTGGTCCTCCCAATGTTTGTGCTGAAGAACTTGCATGGTTAGACAAGCAAGCGATGTTCACAGAGTTGGAGCGTTTGAGAAAGCTTGATGTGATTGGTGATGTCCAAGAAGGAGTTGACGTTGAACAAGCACTTCATCTGGACACAAAACTTGTCAGAGATTGGAGGTATCGATCTGGTTGCTGGACAAGACGTGCGAGAATGGTGGCCAGAGAATTTCGTGGACAATGTGCCTCAACAGAAGAAACATTCAGCCCAACAACACCGCTGATGATGGTGAAGGTGTTGATTGTCATGATGTTGTTGAAAGGTTTGATGCTGTGCGCGTTGGACGTGAGCGATGCTTTTCTCATGGTGCAGCAACAAGAAGATGTGGTCATTGCCGTACCCAATTGGGTGAGAGCAGCAGGTGGAAATGCAAATTTGATGTTTTGGCAGCTACGCAAATGTTTGCCAGGGCAAAGGAATGCAGCAATGAGATGGAACTTCCATCTTACCACTTTGCTTGGAGAACTTGATTTTGCCCACATGCAAGGAACCGTTTTCAAACATCGCCAGAAGGAGATTTACATTTCTGCTCACATTGATGATTTGCTGTTGGTGGCCAACAAGGCTGATGCTGAAGAGGTTTGCACGAAATTGTCTGAGAAGTTGACGCTGAAGAAGGATGGTCCTTATGGAGTTCAAGAACCAGGTAAGTTGTTTTACCTCAAGCGGCAGATCGAAATTGGAGAAGATGGAGTTTACATTGCTCCCAACAGCAAGTACATTCCGAAACTTGCTGAGTTGCTTGGTATCACAAGCAGGCGGGGAAAGACAGTTCCTCACCACAATGCTTTGAATGTCTTCGATGCCGAGCTCACTCCCATGGAAGAGTACCTGGATGAGAAAGAAAGCAAGATCTACCGATCAGCGTTGGGAATTTGCCTCTACATTGCACAGGAGAGGCTGGACATCCAACAGACAGTTCGTGTTTTGGCGAGCTACATGGGTAGACCGACAAAGACCTCGTTGTGCGCTTTAAAGAAGCTGGGCAGCTACCTCATGCAGACCCAGGACATGCGCATGCATTACCCATGTGCCGAGTTGTTTTCATCAACGCTCACCAGATGGAATGGTTTGGAAGAAAGAAAAGATGGGCATCCCTATGAACTTGAGCTTTACAGCGATAGTGACTGGGCAAGCTGCAAAACAACAAGACGTTCGACATCGTCTGGTCTCATTTTTCTCAACTCCTGTTGCATTCACAGTCATAGCCGTGCTCAAGCCTCAATCTCATTGTCATCGATGGAGGCTGAAATCCTTGCTGCGACAGGACTCCTTGTTGAAGGAATCATGGTGAAACAATTTTTGCAGTTTTTGCTTGGTGATGAAGGAGGTCTGAGTAACAACCAACAGGTGCATATGCGACTCAGGCTTGATTCAACGAGTGCTCAAAGCTTTTTCAGTCGGCTTGGTCCTGGAAGAGCCAAGCATCTTTCAACAAGGCTTCTATGGAGCCAACAAGCGATGCGGTTGAAATGGTTTCTGGTTGAAAGGATATCCACAAAAGAAAATCCTGCAGATCTGAACACAAAACCGGTGTCACGTGAGAGAAGAGAATATTTGATGAGAAAGATTGGTTTGATGAGTGACAGTTTTGAATCAGAAGGTGCACACATGTCCAATGGCAAGGTGAAGCAGATGGTGAGACTGATCACTTCGATGCTCATGGCTGGAAGTCTTCAAGGTTGCGAGGTGACTTCATCATTGGCGTTTTCTTCATGGATGGATCCTACAACATGGACTATCACGGCATGGTGGACTTTGACATCATTGGTGTTATCTTCGATGGTGGTGTACCTCATGTACAAGAACAACATGATGGCCAAGAAGGTGGAGAAGTACAAGCAATCTTGCAAATGGGCCGAGAAAGCTTTGCAGGTGCATGAACGTCAAAACCCATTTTCAGGTGTTTGGTTTCATGAAGAAGGAGAAGAAGAAAACCCAGAAGTTTCAGAAGATGATCAAGATGAATACACAGATGGCGACATAGAGATGGAGCCAATTCCAACAAGAGCATTTTTCCGAAATGGAATTCATGGCTCGAGTCCTCCCGAAGAAATCCCAGAGGAACATGGTGAAATCGCAGAAGGAGCTGAACGTGGAGAAGGTGAACCAATTCCGGCAAGTTCACTATCTCATGAAGAAGGTGCAGCAGTTCTTTTAGATTCATTGGGTTCAATGTTGGCAGAAGCTACTGCCAGTGGCGCTGATGGAGAAGCAGAAGAAGATGATGAGAATCGGATTGAAGAAATGGAAGAAACCGCTTCAGAGCGGTACCAGCGGTATGTGCAGTCAGCTCAGTGCGAGGTGTCAGATCCCGATGAATGGGCCGACATTCATTATGGTCCTGCGACACCATGGACAGAGAGATCAAGGTCAAGAGAGGCGACTCCTACGCCTACACCAAGGTCTATGCCAAAAGCCTTAGCACAACAGCGTGATCGACGTTTAGCAGATGAACGAGCAGATGCAATGGTTCGTCAAGCTGAAGAAGAGAGAGCGCGACATGGAACCACAACAACAACAACAAGAAAAGGTGCAAAAGGTTCAAAAGGTGCAAAGGGACGAATAGTTCCTCAACCGGATGATGATGTGAATTTCGTGATGGACTCTTGGGGAGTTGCAAACTATTTCAACATTGGTCTTGTTCCCCGAGATGAAGCAGCATATGATGATTTTCGATGGGATCTCATTATGCAAGGTGTTGGTCCCGAAACAATTCTTGTTCACAAGTCGCGAGATTTGGCACATTTCATTTCTACGTGTACCAATCCAGTGCATCGGGCGTCGTTGCAGAGGTTACGACAAAGCCTACAAACTTTGCTGGTGATGTTCCAAAGCAATTCACCACAGCTTTGGGTTGATGCAGCTGAAAGTGTACGTGGATGGCTCGAATCAGATCGAGACCGGTACTATTTTGCAGAAGGTTCTACGCATCATGGAGAAGGCGAAGGCGAAGAAGAAGAATCCGATGATGCTGCAGATGATCCAATTGACCCACAAGACCGACTCCCAATTCCAAGAGATGATGATGATGATGAGCATGATCGACATGGTGGCCGAAGAAGCGCTGGTGGTGGTACTTCATCGAGCGCAAGAGCAGCTGAGAGATGAGAGGCCACAAGGTGCAAAGAAACACCAAGGTAGAAATCTCCTAGACGGACATTTCTAAGGCGGGGTGTGAAAACTTAGTAGCACCTCCATGTCATATGCAATACAGTACAGATGCAGTTGAATGCATGTTCCATGACCGCCATGCACAGTGGCTCAGAACAGCTTGAAAAGGAGAGCTGGCTGCTTTCAGACTCATGAATGCTTGGGGCGCTAAAAGGCAGAATGCGCAAGGGCGGAGCAGAAAGAAGTCCGGGCGCTGCAAACCGGTGGGGCCAGGGGCCCGAGTGGGACCATGACACGCTCCCAATGTCTAAGCGGAGAAGTCCGCCGGTCGTCCAAGGCTGAACGATGCTTCTCTAAGACCAAAGGCAGCGACAACCTCAGTTTGCAGATGGTCTTCAACGTTCCTCTGTATACTTCGGCTCCAAAACCCCCAGAAGCAGTTCCTCTGTATACTTAGGCTCCAAAGCCCCCAGAAACATCCAAGCAATTGGATTCTGCTTCTCGGCAGAGAAACAGTTCTGCAGGTTGTATGCAGGACAGTGTGCCTCTGGCATGCCAAATCCTTGCATGTTTTCAATAGTCTTTGCTCTTTTTGCTGTTTGCTCTTTTCAACTTTGATTCCTTGCAATTGTGAAAACAGCGCCTCCAAGGCTGGCATGGCTCAGGTCAGTGAGTCGAAATCTCAAAATGTCTCAGCTGCGGAGATGTAAGTTGGATCATTCAGTTTCTTTCGCATTCATGTCATATTGGTATTTCTTTGTGCTCAGCCAAGTTGCCCAAGGACGTCAGCTGCGATGCAGCCTCTAGCAAGGACAAAGAGGTGGCCTGGGCCGTACAACATGAGCAGATGTGCAGATCATGAGCAGATCATGAGCGCGTCATGAACAGATCATGAGAAGTACAAAGTATTAAAAGCCTTCCCTCGTACGCAAACAGTCAGCACAGGGTGAATTGTATCCACAGACTGCGGCGGTCGTTGAGTGGCATGGGTTTCATGATTTTTTTCGCCCCCCTACTAAGCATGCCTCGGGCGCAGATATGCACATGGCTTCTGTTGAGAGCAGGTACGTGTCCAGATTCGACCTGGTGTTTTCAGTGAATAAATAAACATGAATCGAGCACAGCAAAGGCTTTTCAAAAAAGTTTCTACCAGATTCTACCGTTTGTCCAGATTCTACCGTTAAGTTTTCAGCAAAGGCTTTTCTTGCCCTCAAAGAACGGTACTTTATCATCTTTGATATGCTTTTGCAGCTCGCTCTTTGCGCAAGTTACTACAAGTTCACAGGGCAGGGCCAAGGTAAAAGTATTAGACCTGCTGCTGGGGCGGCATGTTTGCTGGAATGTCTTCTGTCTTCGCTGTCCTTGTCCATGCAGATATGGATGATGACATGCTCTGATTCCAAAGCATGCATCGGGTTGCGGACGGGATCGTCAAAAGTGTCTTAGCTGGTTCGGTGGGGCTTGTTTTGTCAATTTGTCAGGCCGTCTTGAGTCAAGATTGTAGTTCCTTCCTGCATTGCATGAGCTGGCAGCAACAGTTCGTATTCTCCCATTGTCCTGATTATGCGCATGTCGAAGAATAGACAATTGCCAGAAACTGACTGCTTTCATTCTGAAGTCTACAGGCAGAGCGGCTTTTTCACCTTAAAGCTTTGGGAACGGCGTCTTTGGAGGGTTACTATGGCTCAATTGTTTAGGGGAGTTTCTTCAGAAAGTGCTCTCAACAGCTAAAGATTCACCTGTAGTAGTGGGAATGAGCGCTGCTCGCAAGCTTCAAGATGTGACGTCGCCGGTGCCTTGAAATGCTCTTGACTTTTTTGGCGTAGAACTCTTTGGGCTAACTTATCATGAATCAGTGATGTGGGGAAGTGACGCGAAGAAATTGTAAGAAAGCATGTTGCAAACTTATTCTTCAAGCTTCTAGGTTAGTGAGGTGCTGATGCCGGACACATTGTCTTAGTATGTCTTTGTGCCTCAACGAGTCCGAATTTAGCCTCACTGTCTCGAAAAGGCGGCTCAAAGAGAAAAGCATGTTCGGAATTGACCTGCCTGAAGAAGTGTGGCGGAGCCACGACGAAAGCTGATTATAGAAAATTCCTGGCAAAGTCTTGTTCTGACACGGAGCAGAGAGTACCGCCGGGAAAGGAAGAGCAAGGACAAAGCGCAAAGCACAGCGTGGCAGATCAGAACTTGGAAAGGCTTTCTATTTCGGGAAGCCATGATCGAAGATATGGGGAGGGTCATGTCACATTTGGCAACTTTAAAAGTACTGAACGCACTCACCATTCAGCCCAGAAGGACTAGTACTAAGCAGGACTAAGTAGGACCTAAGTAGGAAACAAGATCAGGCAAGACATGCACATTCCTCGATAAGGAACAATAAAGTTACTTTCTTCGACTGATCCCTACCCTGGTAATTATTCTGACATAGCTCCTGGCATACCATCTGGAAGTACATATCGGAATTATGCGCAATATATTTGTAATATATATATACATTGACATTCTATTTGACATTCTTTCTGGCAAATACTCTGACATTCTTTCTGGCATTCTATTCTGGCATTCTCGCTGACACGGGCACTGCCGGACTCGCGGTTGAGATCTGGCCCCCGTAGTCGACGTCCGGCAGAGCCCACTGAGACCTGGAGCTTGCGGTTGAAGCCCGGCAGTGCCCGCTGACATCTGGAGCTCGTGATGAGGTCCGGCAGTGCCCACTGACATCCGCAACTCGCAGTTGAAATCTGGCAGTGCCGGAGGGGAAGAAGGAGGAGGAGGCGGGAAGGAAGGGAGGGAGGGAGGGAGGAAGGAAGGAAGGAAGGAGAAGGCGACTCTAATAAAATCTATAGAATCTAGAGGCCATCTCCTGGCAGGCGGGGAAGTACCCAAACAGGATCCAACATGTGATAGCGCCGCAAATACCAAGAGGATGGAAGACCGTGACTTGTCACGTTTGTTGTACGGCATGTTTTGTATGCGCAAAGAACAGCATGCCGCAGCATGCCGAAATATCCTCAGCGCCGTGCCGTGCAAGATAGACACTGCACTGCTGCAAGAGGTGTCACTGAACCATATTGAACCTTTCGAATTTCTGTTGGTCGCCAGGCAAAAGCGTCCCAAGGAAAACGGACATGCTGAGGAAGCGACATCTGCATAGCACCACAGAGCACCTGAACTTGGCAAAACAAGGAAGGTTGCAGTCATCAGGTCACGTCGTACATGTCAGGAGCCAACCCAAGGCTTGCCAGGCCGTCGGAAGAAAAGGCGAAAGGCGTCTCCGCGCATTGATTTTGGCACGTGATGTTATTGTCATTGTCACTGAAACAGAGTGGACCATAGCCATAGTCAACTCACATTTTGCAGGCGTTGGGCAACACAGCACATCCCGAGGGTGAACATATTTTCCAGGCAAGGATGCCAGGACTTCCAAGTTTGGTTTGCCTGGGCTTTTCGCGGCTGTGAAATTTTGATTGACTGCGAAACCTTTCATTGCCAAGGCTTCACGGGCCTCTTCCCAAGAGCGTTGACCCCAACTGCCAAACTGGACTGAAACGATTGAAACACTTGAAACAATGAGCCTCCGTGGGTAACAGCTGTGACAAGGGCCAGCCCACGATAGACCAATATGAAAATGCAAGGCTCCTGAGAGAGTCCAACCTGGAGTACCGACGACAACAGCTGAAAGACAAGTTGTGGTAGCCTGAGCTTGGCGGCCGTGAATTCTGCGGGCGGTGTTCCAAATGCGACGTAAACGGCAGAATTCTGAGCGCTTTATAGTCTTCTTGCTACTGAAAGAGAAACATGAGAAGAGATGAGCCGCTTCACGGGAGACCAAGCCCTTTCTGCACAGGGCCTCTTCCAATGAAACTAGCGCATTTTTTTGCATTTTTAGATCTAGTGTCGGCAATCTGTGTTCCGATATATTTTGCGTCGCCTGCCCCAGCCTCGAGCATCTCGAACTCATTCTGCTTTTCTGAAAATGAGAATGCTCAAAAAAGAGTAAAATCTCATGGAGAAAGCGGCGACAATCATTAGGTCCCGCAGCAAAACGGACATTTTTCTTTGTAGCAAGGCTTGAGCTCAAGACGCAAATTTCCATACAGGCTGGGTGTTGAGTGAAATGTCACCTTGCACTTCTCCGAATTCAGCAAGCATGTTTGCGGAATATCAGGTCTCCCCTGGGTAGACAAGCTGTTGTGAAGTTTTGAGGTTTTGCCCCAAGCCTTCATCAAATTTCCATCTATCAAAACGGAAGAATTTTTTATGTGAGATTTTCTTGGCGTGTCAGTTTGCATAAACCAATGCGTCCAAACAACGTCAATGAAGCCCATCGTTTTTTGCGATTAGTTTGTCGTAGCTGCGTTGAATGAATTGTACTGTCGAATATGTTGAAATATCTTGAACATTATTGAACAAGACTGCGTAAGCACATATAAGGGCAACATTTATGAAGGCCCAATGAAACTGTGTCAACTAGTCACACAATTTCAAACCAGGTTCTTGTATGTTTTTCTTGGTTGTCTTGAGAAGGCAATCCCAGCTTCACTTCTTATGCCTTGGCTTTCACCTACCCGGATCAGAATACTCTACCGACCTCTTACTTACCAACCTTTTTGCCTGAAAGTGAACCATATCACTAAGCCGTAGCTGAGTTGCGCAGGCACCCAACAGCACCCACTTCACAGTCCAAAAAAGTGCGTTGCTCAGAATGGAGCCACAAACACAGAAGCGCAGTATAGCGCAGTACTGTAGCTATGCGCAAATGTTCGCCCCAGGTGGGCAAAATGTTGGGCATGCTGCCTGGACTCCAAGCGCAGCAACACGGAGAGAAGAAGGGAGCGAATAAATTGCAATGCAGAAGTGTTGAAAATGTTGCAGAAATAATCCCGGGATAGGAAAGGAGATGGCCAGGGGACAGACATTTTAGAACAGCATTCAGCAGCACGCAATCCTGAAGTTAGTTCTTTCTTATTCCGTTTGAAGTACCTTCCGGTTTGCATCGCTGCCCTTGGAAAGGCTGGTGCTGGTGGAATTGATGATGCAGCAAGTTCATATTCGTATAGTGACGTTCAAACCTCAGGCGATTGGTATAGTGTAGGCGGATCAAATCTTTGATTAGTACCTTCTGACACCCCAAGGACGAGGGCAGGCTTAGTGTTGCCAAGACTGAAGCAGAGCGAGCAGAGAACAGGACTTCCCTTGACTTTGGGTTTTTTTACTCTTGAAAGCAGAGTAAACAGTATTTTGTTGGAACATGTTAGACCTAAATCCCGCGACAAGGACTGTTGTGCTCCGAAATAAGCTCGAGGCAAACTGCGGTCAATACGTTGAAGTCATTTTTGCGTATTGCTTGGAAGTGTTCTGACGAGGCTCAATTGAGACAAAAATTGGTAAAATCGTTAACGAAACCTTGATTGGAAAATGTTCCTTGTAGGTATGTATTATATCGCGCTTTCACATTTTAATATGTTCATATTATTTTTATTTCTATTTTTATTGCGGTAACTAGTTTTACCATTATTGTTTTTTGTTATTTTGATTTGATTGTTATATAATATAAAAGTATTTATTTTGATTTTGATTTGTTTTTTGATAATTTATATTTATTCCGTGTTATTTTTTTTATAGAAATTGAATTATCCATAGTGTCCTCTTAATTTGTTTTTTTTTGTGGTTTTCTTTAGAATTGATTTTTAAGTTTGTGTTATGTGCTTATATGTTGTTGTCGTTGTTAATGTTTTTTACGGGATAGTAGGTGGAGGATTCTTTTTGTTTCTTTTTTGGCTCTGAATTTAAAGTTTTCCCGAATGCGTAGCGTAGGCGAAGGGTGTTCGCTTTATTTTGGGGGTATGGGGGTGGAGATGTGTTCGCTCGACGCCGCTTTTGTGATTGTAACTGTCCGTAATCGTCCATAATGAGATCGCTATGGCCATGCCTATGGCAAGTTCTGCAAAAGTGGTCACTCTTGGGGGTTTTAAATATCGCGTAGCCTCGTTTTACGTGGTAGGCGCGGCTATGTGTGACACTTTAACATGTTTCATAACGAGTGGAAAATCGTTGTGTGTGATAGGCGCAATATTTTTGCATCTTTGCATTTTGCGTGGCAGGCGCAGCACTTTGGAGAACTCCGTCGTTATTTTGCGTGGCAGGCGCAGCGCCTCAGACGTGTCGTGTTGCATGTTTTTACAAATTACATTGTTATTGTTAGGGCTGCGTGAAGTGGTGACAAGGTGTAAATTGCGTCGTAGGTGTGGGACACCGTGAGATTTTTATTTTGCGTGGTACGCGCAGCATTTGGTGAAGATCCGTCGTATGTGGAATGACATTTTGCATGGCAGGCGCCGTATATAGCATATTTTACGCTCCACACTTTATACTTTACACTCTACATTCTATATTTTACATTCCACACTCCGTACTTTACACTTTAAATTCCACACTTTATACTTTACACTCCATATTTTACACTCTACACTCCATACTTTACATTTTACACCTTACATTTTATAATCTACACTTTTATAATCTATACTTTATACTGCACACTCCACGGTATATACTTTACACTTTACACTTTACATTTCATACTCCTCACTTTACATACCACACTTTACACTTTACACTCTAGACTCTACACTTTTCATTTCATCCTTCACCTTCCACACTTTTCACTTTGTATTCTAACTTTACACTCCACATTCTACACTTTATACTCCGCACTTGACACTTTACACTTTACACTCCATATTTTTATAATTTATATTCTATATTTTATATTCCATACTTCCTACTTTATATTCCACACTTCATACCCCACATTCCATACAATACACTTTATTTTTTATACTCCATATTTTAGATTCTACATTCCGTACTTTATATTGTATATTCCATACTCTACATTTATATTTTATACTCCATACTCTACATTTTATATTCTATATTTTATACTCTATATTTTACACTTTACATTTTACACTCCACATTTTACTCTCTATACTTTACACTCCACACTTTACACTTTACTTTCCAAACTCTGTACTCTACACTTAGCACTTTACACTTTATTTTTTACACTTTCCACTCCACACTTTATATTTTACACTTCAAATTTTGTATTCTACCCTTACATTATATATTTTATATTTTGCATTCCACACTTGACAATTTATACTCTAGACTTTATACCTTTCACTCTATACTTTGTACTCCACACTCTATACTTTATATTTTCTACCCCCCACTTTATACTCCGCATTCCACAATCCCTATTTTATACTCTACACATTACTTTCCCCACTTAACGCTCTACTTTATTTACGCTCCCTAATTGTCATTCTACCCCCTCCTACATTCCACAATTTATAGTGCGCTGGCATAGTAACAGGGTAAAAATGGTTAAATATTTAAAATTATTTAAAAATTTGTTTTATAAACAAATTTTACATAATTGTATTCGGGTTCGTTGACTTCTTTTATTTTATTTGGCTCTGAATTTGAAGCTTTATTGAATAATTTGATATTATTAGCATTATCGTTCCCGGAAACGGAAAAATAATAAACTCGATTTGGAACAAAATTCGATTTGGGGCTCGAGGAATTAGAGTCTTAATGGCCCGGTCCACTATATTGATTATGGTTCTTGCAAGTAGTTCCCGGGCAAGCCGGGGGCGGAAGTTTCAAATTTGAAACGCTTATAATATAGTGGAACAAAGGCTACGCGTATAGGTGATACATAAAACTCCTGTGTTTCGTAGCAATAGGCTTTCGATCTATTAATCTGATACCATGGCCTTTGAATGTTGGATCTTTGTAATTTTTTTTTATGGGTTGACCCTTGTTTCGGGAAATTTGATCTTATCGTATTTTATCTTATTTGAACCTTGATACATCCACTTTAATATAATTTATGATGTCCAGCTGCAAAAAAACAATGGTATTAGGCGCGCAGCCGCGGCGCTAAACAACCTTGACGCAGCCATTACAATACGATTTGTAGAAATTGAGTTGCCAAGTACAATATAACTACGCGCAAGGATGCTAGCAAAACGATGCCTGAACTGTCGGCCGATCCGAGAGTGATCCCGGTACAAACGAGCGTGTCTCGCGCCCGCCGGCCGCGCAAGCTTCCCCATCCATCATCCGGGACACGTTTTGTCCTGCTAAACACAAAATTTCGTTCATCTGCTATCTTTTAAAAACGCATTTCGTACGAGACGTCCCTCGAAAATTGAAAGGTGAAGATGAGAAAATGAAGCTTTCGTGCTAGATTTTCCACAGAATTTGAAAGTGGAAGATGTGAAAGCAAAGTTTCCGCGCGAGACTTTTATTAAAATCTGAAAATCCAAGATGTGAAAATGAAGCTTTCGTGCAAGATATTTTTCAAAATCTGAAAATCGAAGATGTCAAAACGAAGTTTCCGTGTAAGACTTCTCTTAAAATTTGAAGCTTGAAGATGTGAAAACGAAGCTTTCGTTGCGGGATTTTCTTGAAATTTCGAAAGTCACGAAAGGTAGCTCTAGAGGGGCTACCTTGAGTTTTACTTTACGAAGTAAAGGGGAGGGCGGCCAGCCCCGTTACCTGATTCTTCAGGAGATTGCTAGTCATTTTAGTACCCCCCACTCCCCTTCCTCCCCCCCCCCACACCTCCCACGCACCCTAAGAGCAGACTCAAAACATTGTAATTTACAGTATTTTTGTTCTTTTCGGATCAAGAAACCACATTTTGCTACATGGTGAAACCTCCGTAAATACCAGTGTTTTTGCTAGGTGCTGGCCAAAAAACACTGTAAATACCGTGCTTTTTACTACCAGAGGCAAAAAACATCGTAAATACTGTGGTTTTGGGCTTCCGACCCGCCAAAACATCGGTATTTACGGTGTTTTTTGCTCCGAGAGTTGCAAAAACACGCGAAAACACCACCGATTTGACGATTTTCGGCCACTACGGAACCGAGCAAAAACGCTGCAGGGGTAACACCAACACCAACAACAACAACACCAACAGCAACAGCAACAACAACAACGACGACAACAACAACAACAACACCAACACACAACGCACAATGCACAACGCACAACGCACAATGCACAACGCACAACGCACAACGCACAACGCACAACACACAACACACAAAACACACAACACACACACAACACACAACAACACACAACAACACACAACAACACACAACAACACACAACAACACACAACAACACACAACAACACACAACAACACAACAAAACACAACAAAACACAACAAAACACAACAACACACAACAACACACAACAACACACAACAACACACAACAACACACAACAACGCACAACAACACACAACAACACACAACAACACACAACAACACACAACAACACACAACAACACACAACAACACACAACAACACACAACAACACACAACAACACACAACAACACCCAACAACACACAACAACACACAACAACACACAACAACACACAACAACACACAACAACACACAACAACCCACAACAACACACAACAACACACAACAACACACAACAACACACAACAACACACAACAACACACAACAACACACAACAACACACAACAACACACAACAACACACAACAACACACAACAACACACACAACAACACAAACAACACACAACAACACACAACAACACACCACAACACACCACAACACACCACAACACACACAACAACACACAACAACACACAACAACACACAACAACACACAACAACACACAACAACACACACCACCACACAACAACACACAACAACACACAACAACACAC